GTCTTAGCTACTGCCTGATTAATCATGTTTCAGCTGAGAGCAACTTTCAATTAGAAATGTTCCCGGCTGGGGAACATTAACACATTTGAGTGGCCAGACCAAAAACTTCAGTGCCTGTGAATAATACTGAAAAAGCATGATTTATAGACAAATTAATGTTTATAAGTAAAGCATCATGACGGGACAGTTCAAGGCCTGATTCAGTGAAGATATCTGGGACAAACACAGAGCACGGAAGTCATTGCAACACTGATCACAGAATTACATGACACTTCAGAAATACAGGCACAATTTCAGGAGATGCTTTCTAGGGTCGTGATTTTAAATACCCAAAACGAACTCAGGTACAAACTAAAAAAAAATTTAAAAAAAATTCTAATTTTCCTTTTCTCAACTCCATTTGCTAACCCCAACAAAGAAAAACAGGAGGCCACTGTTAAGGCATGTAAAACCAAGTGAAGAATTTGTCCTACCTTTGTTAGTTACAGAAGAAATATTTACTTGCTTCCTTAAAAATGAAGCAATAGAAAGCAAAAACAACAAAAAAGGCTGGCATAAACACACAGCCATGCAACACACACTCCTCTTTAGTAGGGACTGTGCTGGTGCAAAGTAAATATAGAAAAACTCACTTTTTGGAGTCACCTTATGGATTGGAACAGGCCACAAGTTGATCCTCTGTCTGTATCACATGCTCATATCCTCAGACCACGCTTAAGGAGGCTTTTATGGGTGCGGGTAGGTGGTCTTCCCATCTGAACTCCAGCCAGGGAGCCCCACACGAAGTGGCTCTTGGGCCATTCCCCTTCTCAAAGATACTGGGAAGTCATCTCAGCCTTCCAGAAAGCACTCATTTCAGGAAGCTTCTCAGTCCTTAAGCACACCTCTGAACCCTTGCTTCTCCACAGGTAGGTCCTAGTGACCTGCCTCTTCGGGGAGGATGGCACCCTGTCACACCTGCCCTAAATAACAGCCATCAGCAACCACACCTTTACACCATCCACATCCAACAGAAATTGGGTTTTTCTTTGCTCCTGCCTGTTTTTTGAGGTCAACCCTTTTGGCTGGTTGATCTCCAGGGGTGGCACGTGTCCCTCCTGAAGCACTCACCACACAAGCAAAATCTCTTTGTCCCAGCACCTTCTCCAGGATTAGGCTTTGCTAACATCTCTAGTGCTCTTCCTTGGCTCTTCTCCCTCTCCAAGCTTCTTTAAAATCAGCAATTTTTCCACATCCTTCGACAGAGAGTGCTCACAAAATGACCTCCTGTGAGGTATTTCAGAGGTGTCAGCAGGAGGGGCTGTGCAGCCTCTGTGGAGAGAGGCTGGTTCCGGCAGCTGCACCACAGGGCACAGCCCAGCCCAGCCCCTCAGCCATGCCAGCAGCACCTCTGCATAAACAGATTTAAGAAAGGGCAAGCCACCACTTGGCAGTGAGAAACTCAGGGGGAGCAGGTTTATCTCAACCCAGGAGGTTTTTCATCCTGTTTTCTCCCTCTGTTCTGTTGAGGTGGGGACAGAGCGAGCAGCTGGGTAGGTGCCTGGCAGCTGGCCATGGACAACCCACAGAGATTTGCCTGCAAAAGCACAGTCGTAATCCAATCAAACATACCAGAAACCCTAAGACAAGCCCTGCTAGAGCTTAGGGTCTGCTAGCACAAGAACAAGGAGTAATAAATGAGGATGTAATAGCTTTCCATCTGCCTCTTAAAGTCACAAAGTCTTTCAAGAACTGGAACTACCACAGTCCCTACAATTCCCTGAAAATCAGTCATCACCATCCATCAGCAGAGGATCCTGCATGGCCCCCCCCCCAAGTGAGTCTTTCCAAGTCACTGCTACAGACTAGGGAACTCATTTTTAAATCAGCCTCCCATTTTTTTTTACCCAATACTCAGCAGGTGTAACAGATCAGACTAACAATATCATAAGCCTTAAAGGAAAAGATACAAAGGATAGCTTTTAAAGATTATAGAGAGGTGATTCAGCTTCTCGACTTGTAAAAAGACTTAACAATTTATACAGGTATTGATAAGGAATAGCTGTTGATGTTGTGGTATGCTGCCACACAAATGCTTAGCAGACAACATGTAGTAGTGTTACAATAATAAGCAGGTAGCATTTAATGTGTACGTGAAGAGAGCTGATGTTGTCAGGACAGAAAATAACAAAAGACACCAGTAATCAGTTTGCAGAAGCCAGACAGTATATAGCTAGGGCCTTCAAGGCACATGATGAAAGCTTGAATTAAAAGGTTTTCACGTGCAAGCAGATTTGAAAGTTCAGGTCTGTAGTAAGGTATGAAAATAAAATTTTGCAGGAGATATGTCTACAAGACATTTATATATGCTTAATGTAAATCTAGGTCAAGAATAAAGTCAGCACAGTTAAAGATACAAAGTGCCAAGCCCAATCCTGGAACCTATTCTGCAATTAATTTTATTGGTGTCTGGACTAATGACATGGTGGCTCTATCTACATATGCTGTGACTACATTTCTGCTTCCAGCATAAAGAATAAATCTGTATATACTTTTGAGCTTATAATGTGCATGACTAATTTATACAGTGCAATGTATATAGACAAATAGTAAAAGTATTTCTTAACTGAGAATTTAAGATCACAGTGTTACTGGCCAAAAAGTTATTTACTAGTACTGTGCAACTTGTCTCTGCTGAGAAGCAGGTAGAAATAACGTGTATTTACATTACTGGATGAAAGCTACTAAAATTCTTGAAGTAAACATTGTAATGTGACTAGCAACTGACTTCTCAAAGAGCCTGTCTGCACAGATTACGAGCATGCTGGAGGCAGTCTCTGCAATAAGAACAGACTGTTTCTGCATCTGCAGAGCAGTAGTAAATGCAAATCTTGTTAAGTTCTTCCTATGACATTGACTGGCTCATGGATATTGATTTTTCTGAGATTGAAGAGTGTAGTGCTTACATGACTCAGTTCACATGGCACTGCTGAAAATGTGACAAATACTACATTTTACTACTCAGTACAGCAAAATAAGGGCACAAGTAAAATTCAAAAGTTCAGGTTTTGGGTAAGGTGAATTGTTTTGTACATGCTCTACTGTGCTTACAATATTCCAGGCAGTGTTTTTCTTAGAAGCTTTGACAACAATAAATACTCTCTTCCCTTACTGGGACAGATGTAACACTATAACAGCTGATTAGCCTAAAAATGGCCCAAACACTTATGGAAAAAAAAAACCCCAACCAAAAACCAACCCCCCAAAACCCACCAGTGTTACGCTACCAATATAGTAAGGTTAGGTTTCCCAAACTCCTAAATCTGTTTCTACCCTGTCTTCAAGGATTAGCATCATATGAACACCTGGTCTGAAATACATGCAGAGCACAGACTCTGAAGACATACATGACACAGTAAGGATTGCTGAGGTGTCTGACAACGCTTGTCTTGAAGTTCAAACATTTCTGCACAGGGCTTTAAAGTCACATTTCTCTGGGTGCGTGTACTGAAGATGTAAGGCAATAAAATTAGGTTCCTGTTAGCAACAGTAATATCCTGTTGCCGAAATTTCAGAGAAAAAGAAAATGCATCCAGGTTCAATATACAGGGAGAATAGGGAAGTTTTACCTTGCAGGCTAGTTTAGGGAGTCTACATAAATCCTAGCCGAAGTTCCCTCAATGAAGTGACTACAATATTTTAGCAAGGATTTGAGTTTGCTTTGAATTAGCTATTTCTTTGATCCTGTGCAGCAAGTAGTTTTTCACTTTACATACGGATCTTACTTAGAACTCTTCACCCACAGATTTCCATGCCTTAAGACAACTTATCTTTGTTCCCATTTTATAGATAGGAAAATAGACAGAAAAATACTTCAGATATGGCTCAGAGTAACTCAACAAATTCACAGATCAGTAGCAGAATCAGTGAAAAGCAAGCATTCTGCAGTCTTTGTCAATGCCAAAACAGTAATGTTTAATGGTATGTCTACTTGAAATAGGACGCAGTAATAGAGATACTGAAGATCCCTAAATTAATCAGCGTTTTCAGGTCTTCTTCACTTTAAGTTTTAAACACCAAATGGGAACTGAAATACCGAACGAAAACTGAAATACTGAACTGAGGAGCAACTCTATTAAAATACCATCTTACTTAAATATGCTGACTGAGTGATTATAATATCAGCACTTCTTTTCACTCCTGCTAGGCCTGGAGCACTAACACAGCTGAAAAGGCTGGATATGAATGGTCTTACTTCTTGTGCATTACCAATAGAATTATTAAAATTGAAATTAATAGCCTCTGAGCAATCTGTGGAAGTCAACAGACATGACTGAGGTCATGATCAGAAAACACCTGTCTCTTAATAATACTTATGTAATACTAATTTTTCCCACTGAACAAACTTTAAATTCCAAGGGGACCAGGAATAAAAACATAGTGGCTTCTCAGAGGACTTAAATGGGGATATTTCATTTTGCCAATTTCAAGACATGGGGGAAAACCTACCATTTTTGCACCTAAGTTTTATGAGGAAACATGGGAGCTCAGCAAAGTTATTTTTAAGCTGCTCTTGGATTGAGAGTCAAAATTCTATTTACATGCATTTTAAATGGTATCCAAAGTTATATTCCTCCTATGTTACCCATTAACAACAGGGTAACACTAACCACTAAAGGTTCAGGCAGACTGTAGCACAACTGAGAACTGAACCTGAACTGCCCATAAGCAGCAGCACCAGCTGCTTATTTATACTTTTCAGTCACACTGGGAGACAAAAATTCATTGTTATTAAAACTATCTATATATGAAACAATCTTTGGTTCAGGTATAAATGAATTTTTACCTACTCACCAAAAATCAAATTTTTTTTTCCACAATTTTCTAATGTGCAATTTTCTTAAAACTTGGGGGGGAGGGGGGGGAATATGATCAGAACTAATAACCATTTTATAGCAGCTGTGAACCAACCTTCAGATACCAAGACAAAAGAACACTAGCAACTACTTCTACTTATATTGTTTTAATTTTCACTTCACAGCTGTAGTCACTAAACTCAACATTTTTGCACTGCATAACAAGCTGCTATTATAGGAAGTAAAATACTCTAATTCAACACTCTTAGAGACTCATAATTAGATGAAGTATTACCAAGATTCTTCTGTGCCTTAAGATATACACCATCATTTGGATTCATTATTGCTGACGTTTTCATATGGTTTATGGTACATGGGAGGATCAAGATATGAAAGCAGCCTTTTTAGTAACCAACTTTGAACAGCCTCCATCTCAACCCTTGTAACATTCTTCCACAAATTCCCAAAGGATGCCTTAAAGCACTGAAGCAATCATTTCAGGTCATAAAAAGATAAAGAACTTTAACTTTTCATTTTTTTTTCCAGCGAGAAAATGATTATTTATGCTCTTAAAATAAAAAGGACTTTGTACAAAAGGTCTGGAAAGATCTGGTTTTAATTACATATTTCAAAACTGAGTTATACAAAACAATTCTACTGCTTATAGTCAGTAAGTATATTAAAAACTTAAGAGACCACGAAACAAATAAGCAGACTAGTCTATAACCAACTCGGATGTTTTCTGGAAAAGCATGTCATGAGCAATTTGTCCCTTGTGACTGAAAACAGAGAGGGAAAAGAAAATGAGTTTAAGCAAGAAACTGTAACACCCCTTTTGATCTTGCATGCAAGCTGAAAATGAGAAAAAGTTTTGATCATTCAGTCCACAATTTTATTTAAAGATCAAAACAAGCCTGAGCAGCTTAAAGCCTTACTTCATTAAAAGAAGCTATGCACAGTCAAAGAGTTAATTGAATGGTGAGACATTCTTTCTTGCAGCTTTGCTTAAATGATAGAAACATCATTATTTATAAACTCTCCTGTATTCCACAGAAGACAATGAAGGTCCACTTTACGAAAGTTTTTTTCCACGCACATTCTTTTCAAATTTTCTTTTACCTACCTGCTACCTTGAGATCTCCAGACTAAGTATTAATACCTTGCTAAATAAATTACATATATGAATTAAAATCTTCCAGCCATTTAGAAACAGCAACTGCTTATAGTATATGGTGACAAGAGCTTCAGAACAAAATTTTGAAAACAAGTGGCTTATGATATTTGCTATGGAAAGCCTTCTTTTTTATCTACAAAATTAAAAATACCAGTGATAAAGTTCTGCTGCAATATGAAAGCCTGTTTGAATGTGTAAAGCTTTTGCTGAGACTACATAAATTCTAATCCATAACATATGTTTTCTCAGCAAATGAACCCATTTTTCCCTTTCCTTTGAAGATGCCACAGAGCTAACAAACATCCAAAACTTTGCTTAATCCAAAGGGAATATCAAAGTGTCATTCATTCTTTTGAATACACTAATTTGAATACTCCTAAGTCATATGTTATTATGATTCATCATATATTCAGCTAATCATTTAACAGTTCCTAGCAAAATGTTAAACATTTGAAAATGCTTGAGGGCACAGTAGATTAACAATCAGAAGAGTACTTAATGGCCAACTGTTTGATTTTAAATTTCTGTCTGTTGTCCATATTCTAACCATTTAAAGTATCTTAACATGTTATATGTAACTCTGCTTTCAATTAAGTATCTTGCTGTGCAACACAATTCACATAAGATCAGAACTAATTTTGATCTTCAATTACATATGAGAGATCCAAAATAAGATTGGCTGTCTCCAGAGCTACTTGTAGGCCGTTACACTTTGCAGCAAAACAGTCCAATGTGAGAAAGTCAGCAAACTTTACTGACGGCTCTTTAGGGCAGCCCTGTGCAATAGGACAGCCAAACTGGCCTTGCAAAAGCCTCCAGTTGAGGTTCTCAGTGTTACCATTAATCCCACAGCCACATTTTGAAACTACATCTGACCAATTAGACACAGAGGAAAATCCTGATGGAACAAACCAACAGTGTCCATAAAACATGTCCGTAAGAATTTCTCCATCATCGTGATTCAGAGAGCAAGCTACAGACTCCAGGGAACGGCAAAAACCATCAGCAACCAATTGGTATTGTGTCTGAGAACAAACTATTTCTTTAAAACTGCTGGTGGACAGACTATAACTCTAAAACAAAACAAAACAAAACCAGGAAAACAGAAAATTAGAACAGCATTACAGAAATAATTCTAATCAAACATATATTGTACTGTTGTGTTTTTGTTTTTTCCCCAAACAGATGGTTCAGTCCTAATTAAAAAAAATTGTTCATGTGATTATTCCACAACAGGAAAGATTTCTAGGCAAGTCAAAGCTGAGTTCTGCATGACTATCTTTCAATATAAAAATTCTACACATTTTTATTTTAAGACGTAAAAAACAAGCACTTACTCTACTACATACCTAAAGAAATATTAACAAGTACAAATACAGTATTAACAAGTCTGAAAGATGTAATTAGCACTGACTGCTTCAAACAACCCCCTTTGTTTTATACTAGTAGTCAGACAACAAAAATGCAACCTTAATCTAGAAAAGACAAGTGTTTTAACTTTAGGAGTGATTCTACATAAATTCTTGTTTCCTAAGTATATTAAGCAGCTTTAAAAAACCTTGTCTTACATACCTTGTGTCTTATGTATGAAGCCAGGTGAGTTTCTGTACAGCCACCTCCTAATAATGCCAAAGGTTCCTTGATTGTTAACTGTAACACATGTTCTGCAGTTTCACAGATGCGCTGAAAACCATATGGATTTGTCGTTTAGACATACCATGATTAATAGGACTTGCCCCATTGAAAAAACTACTGGAATAAAATTTTCAGTAGTTTCTGGTACAGACTTCAAAAACTTGAATTACGTGTGGATATAAAGCTGCTGAGTGACTTCCAAAACCATGTTCACTTAATGAGAGATTGTCTTTATTTGTCCACACTCAGTATGGAAAAGCAGAAATAAAAAGCAGCTGTATTTTATTCCTTCTTTTTGCAAAACAGGGTTATATATAAAAAGTCAATCAGTATCAATGACATTTCTAGGGCAATTATTCAACGCAAAACTATGCTTGACTACCATTGCAAGTATTGCTGCTGGCCTTTTGCTGGGCAATTTTTATTTTATGCTCTCATAGACCAAGTAATGAGAATAAAAAAGTTTATCCAGCACTGGCCCCAAGAACAGGTGAAAAATGTTTCTGCCTTTAAGCAAGTATTAAAATAGAGGCATTAAATCAACATGACCACTTCAAGGAATTTGAAATTCTGGAAACAAGGGCATTTCTGAATTGTTTTCTTGAAATTGTACATCTACACTCTAACTAAACTTCATTTATGTACTGAAAAATGACTTTCCTAAACTCATCATTTCTCACAACTTTATTTTTCTATTAGAAACATAATTTTTCAAAAAAGATTTCAAGGAAACTTGCCTACCTTCAATTCATCCCATGCTGTTTCATTTCTGTTACAGAGTATCAAGCTGCAGACAACTGTGTCATTAGGAATTAGATGCACAAAATGTTTTGAAGCAAAACTCTCAATGCACACATCTTTCAAACTGCCATAACAACCAGGAGTCAATGAATGTATGGAAGCTATAGGCTTTGAACCTGTCCAATTAAGAAAAGCAGAGAACATACATATTGCTGCCATCAGAACAGCTATCTGTTGTGTTTCATAATGCATGCACTTTTTTCCTCTTGGCTTTTTAAATTATATTTATTCAATACCTAACATTTCAATCTACTCAGGAAATCACAAACAGAAACCAACAAGTTTTTGAAGTACAAGACTTAGTGATAGTTTAAGATTAAAAAAAAGTAATTGTTTTATTCTTATTAGACAAGAATTTAAAAAGAATCTACATTTGCAGTTATTATAATCAGATATTCCTCATGCATCAGTTAGTAATCACATGCAATATGCCATCATTAGAGCCTGCAAAAGACCAGTTTCACCTTAAAAAAATGGTTTTCAGACTAGAAAAGAACAACTCTTGCTCAGCTGCTAAGGTAGGATACAGACAGAAATAAGAGAATCCTTACTCTGCAATGACAGCAACCTAGATAGGTTTTCATTATGATATGAACATTAAGGGCAACTGTTTAGTACAGAAAACTTTCTTGTTACCTGTCATCCGACTCATGGGTTCCATCAGAGATAGCCCGACTCTGTCCACAGTGATGACATGGTTCTCTTTCAGATACTGTTTTAAGGATGGATGGATAACTTTCTGGCACACTACAAGGCCAACCTCATCATTGATCAGCTGCTTTCCTACATTAAGCAACTGATTCAGCTCTGACATTTCAAGAGAAATTCCATGATGGACTGTTATAGTTCCTTCTTCAGGGTTGAAGAGGTCTCCTGACATGGACACAGAGAAAAGTGCTATCTTGATCATGTTTGAACAAGTTCTTTTGATGGTAAGTGGTTCTGCCAATTGAATTTCTGGTGTTTCTATCAGTAGTCCAGGAAGAACTGTAGAATCCACAACTCTTCTACCTTTCACAGGTACTATTACACACTTCCCTAAAACAGCGTTAGTCTCAACACAACATGGAATAGTAAACATAAAAGCCTTTAAAATCAGCATGGTGAGATGATCAACTTCTGGATTATTAAGCATGCAAGCAGGTTTGCTTGTTAATACGCTACGCACCAAACAAAGAAGTGTCTCAACACTGCTAAAATCCACAGATACTCGGCAACCACAGGCCTCAGATTTGAGGTAGTCCATACATAAACTCAAAAGATGCTTGCTTATTTTAATGACAGTGCAAGATGCAACATTTAGGCTTTTAAAATTTTCAATCAAACTACAGCAAAGAATGGCAGTAAATAAGCCACAGTCACTGAAGCGGGATATATGGTTCTGTACAGAGGCCATCAAAACCCTTAATACAGGATGGCTCACAGAAAGATGACCGAGTATAGCTGAAGATTGTGAAGTTGTACAAACATAGCCTCCAACACCATTGTGGAGATGTTTGAGCCTACCAGCAGGACCATAGCAAGATTTTAATATTCCACTTAGCAGAGACAGTGACTGACTCAGCGTATCTCTCGTTAAAGGTTCACTAATAAATAATGGAGGCTTTTTAGCTTCAAGACGAGACATTTTCAAAGTAAGATTTTAATTCTTGCTAACAAAACAGATTTTATTTTTACTTGGATCTATAATTCATAACACTTTTAAAATTTAAAGCAGTACATTTTAATTCTTTGCAGCTAAGGATTATGATTTTAAATGTGAAACAGTATATACAGTACAGTAACAACATTCCTATGACTGCTCATGATCTACCTCTTACAATGAGGCTTAAATCCTATCATGAAATTGATACATAATGACAGCAGTAAGCTATTTCATTCATGACTATCTCCTTTTTTAGCTTCTGAATGTGATTGAACAGATTTTTTTGCAACAAAGTTTACAAGCATGCTTCCAAAATGGACACCTATAAGTGACAGTCCTGCCACAAGCAGAAAGTTCTTTCTACTCCAGCTAGCTTTCTTCATCTCTTCTTCTGGCAACACTCACAGACGGAAAGCTTCAAAGCTAGTTATACCTACAATAACAACCAGAAAGGTATTAGGATAATCTTCTAACAATATTGCATAATTTGAACTGCTATTTTATTTTTCACCAAAAAACTCACGTAAGGACAAATACCAATCTATAATGCTATTTAATTGAGAAAACCTATTAATATTATATATAACACAAGCATATAGGTCAAATTATACATGTTTGTCAATAACTTCAATTCTGACCACCAGTTTATATACCGTTTTACCTGTAGGTCTGTAAGTAACAGGCCACTATAAACTGTACTTAATTGTATGAATGTGTCAAAACTGTAGCAATGTTAAGCTGTTTTTACTCACGAACAAAAGAACTGAACTACAGCATTGCTTCCCAGGCAACCACTTCAGAAACAAAAGCTTTTAATATTCAAACAACTTTAAGAAATCCCTGCCTCTGAAAGAAAGGTTTCTTACTTCAAGATGCCCCAGATACACAATTTTTTTCAGTTCTTAAACACTTCAAGACTTAAAGGTATATTTAATTACATTTCTATGTAAGTGTACAGTATTTAGACTTCTCTCATACTTCAGTTTCTTTTCTATTGTAATCACCATCCCTACTAACAACACAGAATATGTTACTATATGAAGTCACAATTATTTCTGAGCAGTTCTGAACCTGAAAGGACACTTCTGCAGACCCAGACAAGAGAGTTTGACTATTGCCTTCAAGTTATTGGAGGTTTTTTTTTTTAAATATCTTTAAGACCTAAAATACCATCACTTAATTGATGCTATCACATAGGATTTAGCAGTAGTTTTTTTGAGATGTATGATGCATTTTTTGGCTCCATGTAACTACCAGATTAACTCAGTTGCAAAAAGAGAATAAAACTCTGGAAGACTAAAGTTAGAGCAGCAAGACTGCATCTGTTAGAAAATTCTCATTTAATTGACTCATCTCCTGCCTCAAAGATACAGATACAACTAATTAGGCAACTTACCCACAATACATAGCACTAATGCTATTTTTCTTTATTTTTGTGATCACTTTGCATCACGTATGCCACAATCCCAGGTTCTGGAACAAACTCCTCTGTCTTCACTTGGAAAATAGGACTGGACTTGATGTAAAACCACCCCCAGTGCACCAGCCCAAGGCTAGTTCCCATAACAATCATAACTTTGTAGTCCTTCCAGATGGTTTTAAGTCCCATTGCAAACTGGCATCTACGTAGGTAAAGAGAATTTATTATTTTAAATATATTCTAGAAATCCTGGTTTTACTCTACAATAATAGCACAGAGCAGATAAATCTGAACGTTAATATCTTTAATTACAGTGCAGCAGATAATTAAAACACAAAATGACAAAAGGAAGTCTTACTTTATGAACTTAAAAAGAAAAAAGGCTATAAAAATAACCTCAATTCAGACATCTTGAAATGTTAATTGCTACATTTGCATCGAGCTTTGGCATGCTAAACCTTAGAGCTTTGTTAGCTTGTTATGTTTATCTAATTACAAATGTTACTGCTTCAGATGGTAAATATTTGAAGTCTAAAACAAAGCAGTTTCAAAATACACCATTTTCTTTTTTCCCCATAGTTAATAAAATTCAATGACTAACCGAGCTTGTAACAGAATATGGAACTTTTACCTCGCAGGCCAAACAAGCCGCAGTGTTTCTTACATCACTTGATGTTGCCCAGAGAAGCAGGTATGCCTGACTATCTTAGCCCTTGATCTTTAGGGGCTACAACAGTATCAGTACAAACACAATAAATTCACTCTTATTTAAAAAGAATGTGTAAAAGTCTACTTTCCACAGGGTTTCAATAATAAGTACCTACTATAGGAAACAAAGGTACATATACTCAGGGTTTATATCAAAGTAACATCTTGGTTTAAACAGCTACAAAGGTACAACTCGGAGAGTAAATGTTCCTGCACCTGCCCAACTTCGTCCACCTGACAGGCATAACGTGTCCTACTAAGTCCCTCTCCATCATGCTGTGGAGAATTCACAGCTTCACACCACCTGGCACGCAAGACAAAGCGGACTCTAAAGTCGCAGAGCCCACCGGTACGCGTGAGGCAGCCGCACTCTGGCTGCGAACGGCTGAGGAGACGCTGAAGCGAGTGGCTGCGGCCCGGCCTAAGCCACCCGTCCTCTGACGGGCGGGCCGGCGGCAGGGACCCCACCGCCCTCAGTCACGCCGCGACGTGTCCCCAGCCGACCTTCCCCTCTATCCCGTGTCCCAGCGACCTTGCAGCGCGGACGCCTGAGGGGAATCGGCGCGGCGGGAGAGACCGGAGTGAGGAAGGAAGGGGGACGGCGCACCTGGAGCTCCTCTGCCCTCTCCTCACGCAGACAAGAAGCGTGACAACAAGGTGACGAAGGTGATGAAGGCGCGCCCCCAGAAGCCCTCCCGGCACTCACCTGGGCTCTCGCCCCGGGAGGCGAGGACAGGACTCGACCGCCAGCGCCTCAGCGGGACAGGCCCCGGGCCGCGCACCCTCCCCTGCACGTTTTAACCCCCAACGACAAGACACGGCGTCGCGCGGCCCGGAAGTGCGGCGACGCGACGCGACGCGCCTCCCCAGGGCTGAGGCTAGCGCGGGGGCGTTCCGCCTCTCGCCCGCCATTGGCTAAGCCCCCGCCCCCGTCACGTGGCCATGAGGTGCGCTCGCTCTCTCGCGGGGCCCCGGTTGGCTTCAGCCACCCGCGTGCGGCTGCCCCGGCGGCCATTTTGCGTTCGGGCAGCGTCAGGGTAGGGCAGGGTGGCGGCCATTTTGGATAGGGGAGAAGAAGGTCGTGCTTGGTAGCCATCTTGCTTGGGGGCAGAGGAGCCGTTAGAACCGCTGGAGGCCGGCGCGGCGCAGGGAGGAGGTACGGCGCGACTACAGCGGCAGCCTTCTCGCCGCCCGGCTGGGACCCTCAGCCGGGCGGCTCTCGGGGGGAGTGGCCGCGCCTCGGTCTTCAGTCTCGCTTTTCTCTCTAGATAAATGTGTGAGGTGATGTCCTAGTAGAGCGGCGGCGGTGCTAGCCGGCTCCCGCCGCGCATCCCTCAGGCGCCGCCGCGGCTGCTTCCCTCCTGCGCCGCCCCTCGCATCAGCACCCCCTCCCGGCCCGGCGAGGTGCGAGCCGCTAAAGCACCGGCCAGGCTTAAAAATACGTCTGTCTGATTTTTCTTCCTTTCTTAATTCCTGTTGCAGTCACGCCGCGTTACTTCTGCGCGCGCCTTGGCTGAGCCTTCCTGCAGGTGGGCGGTGTCGCCCTGACCAAAAGAAGTTCAAGAAAACTTTGTTGCCTGACCTCTTCTCAATTTTTTCCTTAGTTCTTCTATTCTACGTGTTTTCTGTATTCGCTCTTCTCGCTCCCCCCACTCCTGCAATTGCTGTCGAGAATATCTTGTATCATATTAATGCGTTAATGGATGGGTTTATTTTTAATTTTGTGCATAGTCACAGAGTTTACAACTGTAATCAAAAGACAAGTTTTAAATGCCTAGTCTCCATACAGAAAGGAGTATGATGTTCATTGCATTCAGCTGTTCCACAAAACTTAAAAAAAAGCCATTCAGTAATGCAAAAAGATAATAGTCAGCACCTGTCTGTAATAAGCACTCTGATGTTCCTCAGAATCTCTCATTCCTCTAGTTCTATATGGTTGTGTGGTGAATGGCTAACATTTTTGAAAGTGAATTGTTGAACTTTAAAGGTGAATTGGCAGTTCACGAATGAAGGAATGTAGATGTCAATGAGCTAAAAATACGCTAACTTGCTGGAAGAATAGTTTCTAAAGGTTAAGTGAACAAATTTGCAACAGTGGGCCTAAAAATCCTGAAATTGCAAAATGCAAAGATTTTGGTATGTCTTTTCAGAACTACAAACACTTTACTAAATATGCGAGTAGCTGAGTATTACACTGCTCATCCCATTGCTTACTGTCAGCTCTCAGAAACTGGCTAGTGCTGGGTCTGGGCTGGACAGGGTTTGGCTCCAATACCCAAGGACTGGAAAGTTCAGAAAAATTCTCTTTTATGTTGTGACAGTTAATTTTGAACTACGAAAATAGTTAATATTAACTTATTCTAGAGTTCCTTAATTAGCATTTGTGTGTTTGTTTCTGCCTTTTTCAGGTGCCCACCTCTCCCCCACACATGGTAAAGGCACCCAAAGATGGGCAGTGTGTGAATGGTTTGCAGCCATTGTGTTAGAAGCTACTGTATCTTCAAGTGGGCATGTGCAACAGGAATTTTCAGTTTCTCATTCCTGCTGAGTTCTAAATTCCCTCACCACAGGAAGCTATTTCTTTGCTAAGGTAAGATGCTGTTCATCAGCTGGCAGAAAACACTTCAGCTTGCTGTCAGGGAGGCCATGTTTCCTGGCTTCTCCCGAGTGTCTACCATTCCACTTAACATCAAATTTAAGAAAGAATGATACTCTGCCACATAATTTTTGAAGCGTGTCTCACTCTAGCTACAGGGAACGTATGTGTTTAATTCTAGATCATGTTTCCTTATACAGACTGTCTATCAAAAATCCAGATGTTGGAATACTACAAATATCATATAAATTTTTTTAAAATGTACAAATATATATATAGTTTCTGAGAGGCATTTTTCTGCCTTATTGATTTATCTTCGCCTTTCCTTACGTGCAGTTTCCTTAGAGGTTCACGTTAGTTTGCAGTAGATATGGTATTCAGTCAAAGTCTTCTTACCAGATAGCAGCAATTGTAATAGATCTGTGTTTCTTGTGTTTTTTTTTCAACACAGAAAAAGGCAGAGTGTTTTGGGGCTTGCTGTTTTTTTTTTAATTTGTACAATTCATGGGTTTTTTTCCTCATTTTCTGACGTCTTAGTATTGGGTATTTTTTCATCTGTGACAGTTCAGTGACTTTCCTGATGGTTCACACATTAGATGTATTCTTTTTTGTTTTCTAAGAATTTGCTTACACTTATTCTGTCTGCTGTATTTCCTTTGTCTTATCTTTATGGTCAATGCAAAGAATGGGGTAGTTGGCAAACTCCCAAAGTCAGCTTACTCCCATGAAGAGCAAATTGAACCAAAGGTAACTTTTCATATGCATATTTTTTTTTCTTTTTTCTTCTTCTTCTATTATTTTGTAAATTGGATTTGGAGAGGATTTCTGCCTGCCAGCAGTTCTTCTCATATCAGTAGTAGCAGACTTGTTGCAACAGTAGTATTCTGGATGGCAAATTGTTACAAAAAAGAGATCTGTGATGCCAGGATAAGTTCAGCTGATTCATCTATGTGCTTTGTTCTCAAGCAGGACATGAACATTTGGAGAAGAGATGATGCTCTGGCATGTTTTGTTGCAACTCTTCTTCATATTATTGCCACTGTAAGGATTAATGAGAAAACATCAGCAGTCCAAATATTGTTCTCTGGATCACAGGCTGAGATCACCATCATGAATTGTATGCCATATGCAGCTCAAAAATTATGTATAATCTAGGTAAACTATGTTCTCGGAAGCATGAAGCAAAGTACCTTGTGTTCTACCATATCCCAAGGTACAGGTAATTCTGTGTAAATGTTAGGTTTGTTCAATATTGTCATTGCTTTTGTAGGAGCTCTTAGTTGATGGTGCATTCCACAGCAAATTGTGTTTGTAATTACAGATTTCCTAACTTCAGGCTATGATTCTAGCTGCTTGGAGAAGAGACTAGCATTTAACGCTCTTCTACTTTATGCTGTTTCTTGCCTACTGTTTTTCCTATTTTTTCTTTTTTTTTTCCTTTTTTTTTGGGGGGGGGTGGGGGGAGGAGGTAGGGATCGTTAGTAAAGCTCTAGATACTAGCCTTTCATTAAACTTAAAAACCCAATCCTGAAATGCTACTGAGACTTTTTTTTAAAGAGAATCTGTTGAGTCGTACATGCCCAGGTTTTGAGACGTTTTGAAAGGAATGTGATGTAATTTACTATTTGCTTTTTGTTTTTTTGCATGATGGGGTGGGTAGTTATTCCTTGGAGTTCTTGAACACCAAGAATACAGTCTTGTACACCATTACAAGGAATTGAGAAGTGCAGTTGGTTTTCACTTGGTGGCTGCCATTTCCCTTTAGCATCTCTTCTGGCCTGGTTCTAGCAGCTGCTGTTTCAAGAATTTCTGCGTTTTATCTCCTACGAAGATTCTTTTTATAGTTGTTCTACTATGTTTATTTCTATAGAGTAGCACCTTACTACCTGACTGAATCGAAACATAAAGTCACAAGTAGTCCAGAGCACTGTTCCTTACATTGTGTTTCTCGAAATTACTATCAGTAAAGTTGACAGAATTTACTCCAATAAGATAGAAAAGTTTCTAGGGCTGTTTTGTGCAAGGGAGAATGATAGTCGTGTGGCATGAGCCATGGTATTGCAGCTTCTGTCTGCATGACTGTTATCTGAAAATTCAATTTGCTCTATATAACTTTCTGCTTACTATTACTGTGCAGCTGATAAAAGCTCTAACTTTGAGCTTTTTCAGAACATAGTTGAAACATTTTATTAACTACATTAAAGTTTATTTTCAGTAGTTACTTGCAGAAGGGTTCTCAGTTCAAACTCATTTTAACCTGGTTACAGTAACAACCAGGTTTTACTTCTCACTGTTTACGGTCCTTCTACTGTTTCTGTTTCTTCCTGCTTGGATATTGATATGATACATGGAAAAAAATCATTGAAGTAATTGGGAGGTTTTTTTGAGCCAATACATGGAATTGTGCCCTTGTTACTTTCACATTTTCTTATAGTTGTTTTGAAACCTTGGATCTCAGCATTTGGATATTTGGAATGACAGCACTCTATAGAAGTGTTTGTTTAATTCAAAATGATTACTGTTGAATCTTAAGATCAAAATTTTCTGTGCTATGCTATGTAGTTGTAAAGTAGGTCTTTATCTTGTTTTGCACTTTTTTGAAGTTAAATAAGGATAACGACTGCATTTTGAAATGTGTGAGCGTAGTGCCTGAGACACATATCGCCAACCTGACTTGTATCCTGAAATTTTGACAGCTCTATCGCAGTACTTTACAATTACTTGAAGTATGTAGTGAGAAATGGATTGTTCTTGTTTTTGTTTTCCTATATCATCTTTTACAAAACTGACCAGATTTGTCCATCTTAAGAGACTAATCCTTTAGGAAACTTTAGAGTGTAAAAGGCAGCTCTATTCTCAATGTAGTTTCTGTTGCAGTTTGCCTATTGCAGGCAGCAGCTACTGGCACTTGTTTTCTTCTTGATTTTGAAGCTTGAAGTGTATTGTTTGGGTAC